CCTATGCCAGGCATATCATTCTATATTTTCTATTCTGTTAATGATGTCAAGGAATGCATCACTACCACCTTTTCTCCTCGTACCAAAATACCATGAATTGCCAACATATGATTTAAATGGGGGGGAGGGGATCTTAGGCTACAAGGCAGAGCTCTGGCGTATAGAAGCCTGTAGTTAATCTTTTGTCTCTCTTGTAAACTAGCGGATCACTTCAAGTTACTTAATCTTTCTAATTCTCATTTTACCTGTCTGTAAAATGGGGGTAAGGATTCACAGAGTCTCAGGGATTTTATAGAGATTTACATTTACAGCATGTAATTGATTCTCGAGAAATATTAAGTTTCCTTTCCAAAGACAGGTTTCTTTCCGTAGAAATGGGGCAGTCCTTGAGATCTTGTTTGCATAGTTATCACGGGTAAGTTTTAACCCGAGTACTTCTTTTACCCTAATTCGGCCTTGAATATTAACATGGCATTCCTAATTAGGTCTTAATCTCGTTGGGAGAGTTAGCAGTAAGTACTAAGGACTCACATAACACAATCTAAGCTTGCGTATTAGTCCAGAGAAGGACAGCTATAATTTTCCATTCTTCTCTGGTTGATTTTCCCCTATTAACATTATTTGCTGAAGATGGAATTTCATAGTAGGAACAGAAGGGGAGGGAAAAGAAGGATTTCAGCTTATGATGATCACAGAGCCATCTCTGAAGGGCTTGGTCTTATACATGCTGGGTGCCAAACTTTGGTCTTCATCCTGAACTTCCTTACACATTCTCTTGGATACACGAAGCGAAAAGCCGAAGCCACTGCAGCGGATAGATTTTTACAATGGCGAAATATGACGGAAAAGACTCTGGGCTCATCATTCAGAGAAACCATCTGTGCCGGAGTAACTGTCTGTAGAGGGAAAAAATAAATCATTTTCAAAAATCCCATTGCTCCAAAATCTGGTCCAGTGCCACCGTCCTGAGTGCCAACTATTCCATCTGGCAAAAGCAAGTCATGGAAAAGCACAAAAGCAATTTACCCAATTGGCCTGGGCAGAAAGTTTATTCTTCAATTATTTTTTTGTGAGTCTTCCCTCTGAGTGTGGCTCAGATAGTTCTGCACTAGGATCCCCAGCTGGGCAGGGTTCAACTAGGCAAAAACACAACTTGGGGTGAGTAGCAGTGAAATTTGCAGTTAGTCTCCCTCATTTAGAATCCTCCCTCCTGTTTAGAATCCCTCTTTCTGAATGGGTTAACCCTATCGAGTGGTTTCTAAAGAGGAGCTTCCCGATAGGATCATACAGCGAGATACAGAGTAAGTTGGTATTCAAATTTACTATTACAAACTATCAGGGATCTTTGAAAATTTATAATCTGACAGCTTCGCTTCTTAGATGGGCTGCTGTGGTGAATGCAATTAATTGGGGACTTCCTCATCTCTATTCTTTTCTATTACTTTTAGGCAAAGGCTTCATTTTAAAAGCAGTCTACTTTCCCTTCAGTATCCTTGGAAACCAACCAATCCAATGGTTTTGCTGCATTGGTGAGGCCATCTATTTCTTGGGAGATTGCCATTTAGAGGATTAAAATTATAAGGCCCCAAAGAAGGAATTTTTCCAACAGCAGATCAATCTGTGTACCTTTCAGAGAGTTTTCTAGAAATTTCCTTCACGACAGCTGAATAGATGTAATGTCATTTCAGGACTAGGACACTCAGCTCCGATAGAGGTTCTAACCAGCAAACGTTGAGAGCTATCACCAGCTGGTTATTTGCAGTCCGTGGAATACATGTTCTGTACTCCAGAGACATGAATCACTTGTTCAATTAAAAATAGTATTTCCCCAGCAATTATTTGATCAAGAACGGGAATAACTTGTGGGTGAAATGATGGCCAATTTGCATTCCCATCTTGGAAACAGGCCTGTCGTTTTGACAGCATATACACATATCGATCTGCTTTTCTCTCTGAAACAACCAGCTCCAGAATTAATGACTGTAGATTCTTCTAGGATTTCCTTAAAATTAGGTCAAGGCTTTCCACTGTGGGAGTTAAATGCATGCTTCTCACTGTGGAATTCAGGGGGGAGATGAGTTGCCAAGAGAAAGGCATAGTAAGGACCTCGTCATACACAATTCTTTACCAAATTGTATCGGAGTCCTGTTTTGTTTACTCAAGACAAAGTTAATTACTCCATAGGATTATAGCATGGAATAGCTGACCAATGACAACCTCCAAGTGTCACAATCCAGTTTAAACAATCATTTTATCTGAATTATTAAATGCCTTTAATTTTTCAAAACTTTATTAGATACCTCCAATGTGTCAATTTCTCCATAGAAGCTGGGTATAATCCATTGTGGTCTAAAGCTTAAAAATGTTCACCACTGTTTGAGAAAGATTCATATAAATTAATACTTAGAAAATAAAGCATATAACATTGTGAAGGAAAAAGGATAGATCAGTTAATTCTCCTATATAGATTTGATATCTGCCTTTGGATTTGAAGCATGAAAAAGTAAAAAAACAAAAAAGAAGTGGAAATAAGGGTAATTCTAAACAAAGGTAGGAAGATGCTGAAGCCATTGACTTGTGAAAGTTTGGGATAGTGTGGAAAATACATAAATGGTTCAACATGACTGAGTGTGGAAATAAAGGAAGTAAAGGAAGTTAAAAGGGGCCTTCTGTGCTACGTAAAAGTGTTGTGACTTAATTGTCTAGGATATAGATATTTATGGAAGAACTTTAAGCAAAAAATGCTAAGCTCCTGTGTGCATTTTAGAAGAATGAGGTACAACAAAGAGTTTTTAGAGGGGAAGCAGTGGAGACAGAATAACAAGTTAGACAGTAGGAGTCCCCCAAAGAATGAGGATTGGGCCTAAAAGTAAAATTTGGGCAGATGGAACCAAGAAAACTGATGGTGAGGATGTGTGTCATTGCTGATGTCATTAACAGAAGGTAGAGAACAGAGGAGTCAAGTAGATACTTGCTTTTCATTTACTCTTTGTGTTTTGGCTTGCTTCAACTATGTCATTATTTCCCTATTAATATTCATTTACTTATATAGATGGAAGTATTCTAGCATGAAATCAGGAGGAAGGACAACAAATGATAATATATGTTGTGGGTGGAGAAAGGCTACACTATCGTCTTGGATAACTGTAGTATTTCCTGGATTTCTGTTTGGGAAATCTGACTTAAATTCATTCCTACTATCCCTGATCTGTCCAGTGGCTATTTTCAAATCAGAATATTGGATTTTATATTTGATCTTTTAAATGTCACTGTTCCAGTCTGATGAGACTACTGAGAATTTTGATTCTGTTGTGTCTTTCACCTTTAGGTCATGAAAAGGTGAGGGGCAATATTTGTGCATATAGGATTTTCCCAAGTCACAAATACAACTTTTACTGAACAACACCAGGAACACTGTGCTGTTGAATAAAACTAAGTACTTCACTCCACTGAGATACCAAGAAACCAATCAGTCTTCCAGTGGAGTTATTCAGGAGTCATAAATCTACTGCAAAGTGCTGTAATTTAGACCAAGGCTATAAAGGGAAGCTACATCGAGTGTGTTTTGCTTAAATCAATAGCTTGTAATTTCCCATTATATCTACAAAAATCCGGGGCTGGTAGCTGTAAATGTACTTCATGTACCTCTTGATCGATTATAGCTTGGTGTCCTTATGTAAAATTCAAAATGATATTTCTGCTTTCAATATTTGTCTTGGCATGGTAGAGTAATATCAGGGAAATAAGGTTTATTGCATTATTTTAAAAAATAGTTAGGAATGAAAAATACTTTTGTTGTAAGCTTGATCCCACTATCATCTAATAATACTACGTTTTATTAGTTAACTAAAAGGAGCTGTAATCAATTGAGTGCTTACTACATGGTAGTCATTAATCATCTAAATTGGTGATTTCAGCTAATTCTCCTAACAATGGCATGATTTTAGCATCATAAGTAGTCCTGGAACATGGGTGGGGAAACTCATGCTTAGAAGAATATGGTACTTTCTCACGATATTTAGGTTACCCAGTATATATTTGAACCCACATCTGTGTACCTATCTACAAGAACCTGAACACTTCACTGGATAGTATGATGACATCTGTTAATAATCCATAGGAATAACAAATTTATTTTTCAAAGCTTCTGAACTCCAGAAACTTGAAAACTCAAAGCCTAAAGTCTGACAAACATAAGATGAATTCACATATGAGCAGAGAGTGGGATAAAACCAGCTCTCTTACTGTGTTAAAAAAAAAAAAAATGAACCAATGGAGTTCATTGGTTCAATGTCAAAGAAGGGGACACTGGGGGTGCCTGGGTGGCTCAGTTGGTTAAGCGTCCGACTTTGGCTCAGATCATGATCTTGCGGTTTGTGAGTTCAGGCCCCACATCAGGCTCTGTGCTGACAGCTCAGAGCCTGCAGCCTGCTTCAGATTCTGTGTCTCCCTCTCTCTCTGCCCCTCCCCTACTTGTGCTCTGTCTCTCTCTGTCTATAAAAATAAATAAAATGTAAAAAAAAAAAAAAAAAGGAGACATTAGATTTTCTGTAGGCAAATGTGTTTCCAATTGTTGACAATATCTGAGGTAGTTGGCTAAATTGGACATTCTTTTGAGACCTTGTTCTTTATTTGGTCTAAATTTGATTCAGTGTGCATCTCAGCAGGGATTTGAAACTACAATACTTAACAGATTATTATTCTTGCTTCTGAATGCATCATATGTCTTTATTCCTACAGACTGAGATCTGTGAAATGTTTCTCAGGTTATACCCTTTCCCTGTTGCAGAAAGGGGATTGGTGTGCATGGTATGACAACTTTGTGGCTACTCATGGGTCACGTGTCTTCGCTATTTTATTTGAAGCTGTGTCCTATAGCACAAGGCCCATAAATATGCCAGTGCAAAAACAATGTCCAAAGTCAAAACTTATAGCTTTTTCTTTATCTCTCTTTTGGAGCAAACAACCAAGAACTTACTGGTGTTCTTTACTTTCAATAGGTATCTGGGAAATTGCAGCACGTAGAAAGAAGACAACAGCTCAATACTCATCTCCCCGAGGACAAGTTTACTTCAGTTAAAAAAAAAAAAAAAAAAAAACGCCACAGGGTATTTTACTATTTGTAGTTTTTCTTGTAAAGGGAGAACTTGAAAGAAATGGTCTCCACCGCTGTGTACCAAAGAGGAAATGATGTTGAGAAATTGCAGACTTTTGAGGCATTAAGCAATGAGCTGTCCAGAAAAATAAATAAATAATTTCACAAGGAAAGAAAAAAAAAAAAAAAACCCAACCTCCTTGGGAATTGAAATATATTAGACAATGCATCAAAGAGGGTAAAAGAAAAAAGAAAGTCAGGTAGTTTACAATAAGATCGAGGGAGATAAAGTCCTGATTGTCCCACTTCTCATGATTAAAAAACAAGGAGGCAACACAGGGCTGTGCATTCAAGGTAGTTCATAAGGACAAACGGAAAAGTGTAAGAAACAAAACAAAACAAAACACTTCAGTCCCATGGCCTTATTTCCATCTGCTCACATTGCCCCCACCTGCTCCAGTTTATAAAGTGGCTCAGTGTCATGTGAAGGACATTCTTGTTGCGTTGGCTTGGCCTGCAGAGAGCCATGTGACATGTTGGAGAAGTTTCAGCCTGTTCTTAGCTTCCCTGTGCGACTTTGGAGCTACATTCCTAACATTGAAGATAGACATTCTTCCCTCAAGTTTTCCCCCTAGATTTACACGTGTGCTCTTTTCTTTTTAAAGCAGGAGTGACTTCAGCAGTTCCTTAGATCTGGGTTTTTCTCACACACCCAGAATTTGCTTTGGTGAAGGCAGCTAGGCAAGTCAGGAAGGAGACCACTCAACACGTAAAGAATGTCATGGTGTTTTCTTCCTACGGGTAGGTATTGTGTCTTGAGGAATCACAGAAATGGAGACTATTTGATCGTCACACTCAAAAAGAGGACAGAGTTTGTTCTGCAGAGATAGCAGGGAATAAACGGAAATTTATGACCGAGAGTCAGAAAGTCAGGCCTCCATTCACAGCTTTACCTCAAGTCAGGTGACCTGAATCAAGCTCTTACCTCTCTGAGCTTTAAATTCCTCATCAAAAAAAAAAAAAAAAAAAAAAAAAAGTACATCAATATTTTTCAACTAGCTCCCTATTCCCCATCAGACTCATATATAGTTGTAGATATAAGGTACATGTACATCACATACATAGAGATACCTAGACATCAGGGATGAGGTTTTCTTCCAAGATTCTAGATTTAAGTGGGCCATAGGTGAAGTCCAGACACTAAAGAAATTAGTGTTGGGGTGCCTGGGTGGCTCAGTGGGTTAAGCGTTTGACTTCAGCTCAGCTCATGATCTCATGGTTCGTGAGTTCAAGCCCCACACTGGGCTCACTGCTGTCAGCATAGAGCCTGCTTTGGATCCTCTGTCTCCCTCTCTCTTGCCCCACCCCTAGCTCACACTCTCCCTCTCGCTCTCAAAAATAAATAAACATTAAAAAGATTTTTAAAGAAATTAGTATTTATTAAAAGCTATCCAAGTGACACTAATGAGGTACCTTGGTTTAGAGCCACTTATATAGACAACATCTAAGTAACCCCCATTCTCTACCTATAGAAACCTTACTTAAAATAATTTTCAAGGAGTTTTTATGCACATGGCAATGAGGCAAAACAAAGGAAGAAGAAGAGGAGAAAGAGGGAAAGGAGGAGGATAAATGTAAATCATTATTCTTGGCCTTCAGATCCTCATACTCTCTCAGGGAGTACCCAACAATATCACTATCACAACAGCATAGGTTATGTTTAGTCAAAGGAGTTTATGGCCAAATCCTTAAAAAAATAGAAGTGAAATAATCCATTCATGAGAATTTATAGAAACAGGTGGAAATCAACAGGAATTAGAATTAGGGCATGGAAGAGATGTGTGGAAGGACAGATGACATGTGTTTATCAGGTGTGAGAGAAATGCGCTTTAGACACACAGGACTCTTCCTGGTCCGGATCCATCATGGGGTGTCACTCCCCTGAGCCTTTGCACGTGTCACTCTCTCCGCTCACATCACTTCTTTATCAGTTGCTTTTATGTGTCATTTCCTATTTGTATATTTTCCTACCCTTTTTTTTTTAAATTTTTTTTTCAACGTTTATTTATTTTTGCGACAGAGAGAGACAGAGCATGAACGGGGGAGGGGCAGAGAGAGAGGGAGACACAGAATCAGAAACAGGCTCCAGGCTCTGAGCCATCAGCCCAGAGCCTGACGCGGGGCTCGAACTCCCGGACTGCGAGATCGTGACCTGGCTGAAGTCGGACGCTTACCCGACTGCGCCACCCAGGCGCCCCTTCCTACCTTTAATAAAGATCTGATTACCCCTCGTTCTTGTTGCTGAAGGACCTCTTCATATTACCTTTTTATCACCTACTAGATTTCATGATAGTTGTTTTGAAATCTGTCTCTTTCTTTACAGCTTTTTAATTAAGTGCTTAAACTTCTCTTTTATGGTCAACATGTAACACAGTATCTTGCACAGAGAAAGTTACCTTTTTAAAAAAGTTTATTTATTTTGAGAAAGAAAGAGAGAGAGAGAGAGAGCACGCATGTGCAAGCAGGAGGGGGCAGAGAGAGGGAGAGAGAAAGAATCCCAAGCAGGCTCTGCACTCAGCACAGAGCCCCGATGCGGGGCTCAAACTCACGAACTGTGAGTTCCTGACTTGAGTCTAAATCAAGAGTTGGAGGCTTAACTGACGAAGCCACCCAAGCACCCCTCACACAGAGAAAATATCCTTGAGTTGAAGTAAGTATGGGCAGAAGAACAATAGCAATAAAGATTTTTACTGAGAATGGTTAGGGAATAAATAAGGACACACAATGAGGACAGAATATAAAATTTGTGTGTTTTGAGTAGTGTCACATTTGGAGACACACAAATAAAGGGAAGTAATTTGAAGCTATTGCAACTGAAATTCTCTGAGCAAGAAAATAACAAGAGTTGGAGACTTTGGAAAGGGAAGAAAATAAAGGTGAGGAATGTTCAAGAAGGATCAATAAGAACTGAGAACTAGAGATGAATTAAGAGTGCTATTGTCCTTCAGATAAAAATGTACTCCTATCTGAAGCACAAAAAGAGAGGATGGGGTATCCATATGAAGACTTTTTACAGACCCTGGAGGGGTGAAAATAGCGACTGAATTTTGCAAAGGAAGCTGAGGCTGGAGGTGGGGCTCTGAGAGCTGTTGACACAGGGGTGATGACTAAAGATACAGAAACTAATAGAAAGAGAGAACATGAGAAAAATGAGCAGAAGGTTAAGCATCTTTGGGAAAGGGCTTGAGGAGGAAGAAAAATCACCATGTGAGCCAGGAATAGAGAAGTCAACAAGAAGAGAAACAGTTAAACTGAAAAACAAAAACAGAAACAAAAAACAAACTTGGGTTTGTTCAAATAAACTGAATACAAAAATAAATAAATAAAAATTAGTCCTAGATGAACCGAAATTCCACTCTAGAGAGAGAAAGCAAAATTATTAGAAGATAAAAATTAATTCCTGTCCATTTTTTTTTTCCAGCTCCCTTCTAATCTGGAGATTCTCAAAGGGGGGAGAAATGAAAGAAAAAAAAAAGGAAGAGAAACCAAAAAATGTGGTATTAGAGTCTAAAAGGAACAGAGGGAGTTTCTAAAAGGAACTAGTGGCAAAATGAAAAAATTCCCAGATAGGGAAAATAGGTTTAGAAAGAATGCTGTTGTTAGTTTTAGCTAAAAGAAAGTTCCAGAAAACTCCTGAAAAAGCTTCAGTTTCTGTGCAGAAGGGAAGCTCACAGGGAGGAAGGCAATCATGTAAATTGACTGAGTAACAGAATAAAGGAGAGAGTTGAGATGAATGATCAAAGCAGAAGTGAATTATTTTTCAAAGAAATGGGATGGCATTTATCTGAAAATAACTAACAAAATAAGCATTTTGTTCTATCAATCTGTATGTCTGTTACATTGTTAACATCACAGGGTCTAAATTATGGAGCTCCATACATAGTAAAGCTTGAAATCTGTATGTGTGTCCTCCAACTTTGTTTTTATTCTCCCAATTGCTTTGATTATTGTAAGTCTTTTTCATTTTCATATACATTTTTGAATCAGTTTTTCAATTTCCACCAAAAAAAATCTAGGTTTTTTTAATTGGGATTGTTTTCTTTCTTTCTTTCTTTCTTTCTTTCTTTCTTTCTTTCTTTCCTTCTTTTTCTTTCTTTCTTTCTCTCTCTTTCTTTCTTTCTTTCTTTCTTTCCTTCTTTTTCTTTCTTTCTTTCTCTCTTTCTTTCTTTCTTTCTTTCTTTCTTTCTTTCTTTCTTTCTTTCTTTCTTTCTTAGAAATGTTTATTTAGTTTTGGGGGAGAGAGCATGAGCAGGGGAGGGGCAGAGAGAGGGGACAGAGGATCCAAAGCAGGCTCTGCACTGACAGCAGAGAGCCCAATGTGGGGCTTGAACTCATGAACTGTGAGATCATGACGTGAGCCAAAGTCAGATGCTCAACTGACTTAGCCACAATCCAGGTGCCCCAGGATTGTTTTCAATGTACAGACTGATTCGGAGGAGATATGACAACTTTGATAATCTTAGGTCCTCCTGATCAATGAATATATTTTCCCACTTACATAATTTATTTTTAAAATTTGGCTTCTCACATTCAATGTTTTGTAGTCTTTTAGCATATAGATATAGCACATCTTCTTTCAAAGCTATTTCTAAAGGTTTCTTGATTTTGATGCTACTGTAACTTTTGATGCTATTTTTATTTCAATTTCTAATTGTTCATTGTTATGAAATTTTAATGTATTAGTGCTCCTCCTCCTGCATTGCTAAGCTCACTTGTTAGTCCTGGTAGCTCTTTTGTAAATGCTCTGAGGTTTTCTATGTAAATTATCATCCATTCTGTAAATAAAATTCTGTTTTATATCTTCTTTTCCAATGTACATGCCTCTATTTTCCTTGTTTTAAGTGGTGGAACCACTAGAACAATGTTAAGCGGACGATGTTTTCTTTGTCTTAGGAGGATCACGTTCAGTTCTTCACCATTAAGTATGATGCTCCCTGTTTTGTAGGTGTCATTTTTCAAGTTGAGGAATTTCTATTTCTAATTTGCTGAGAATTTTTATAGTGAGTTGACATTGAATTTTGTTGAGTGCTTTTTCTGCGTATGTATATATGTATATACACACACACACACACACACACACACACACACTTTGCTTAAAAGTCTAATACACTGCTTTTGTTAATATTGAGCCACCTTTGCATTCCTAAGACCAACCCTAATGTGTCTTGTTGTGTTATCTGTTTTGGGGGTTTTTGTTGTTGTTGTTGTTGATGATGCATTCAATTTATTAACATTTTGTAAAGGATTTATATCTCTAACTTAATAGAAGATGCTGCTTTATGCTTTTTTTGTTTTATTTTGTTTTTGTAACATCTTTGGTTTCGTTAATAGAGAGATTCTGGCTTCATAAAATGAGTTGGTAAGTGTTCTATCTTCTATTTTCTGCACGATTTGTATTACTATTACTACTAATTTTTACCGTTTGGTAAAATTTGCTGGTGCAGCCATCTGGGCCTCAAGTTTTCTAAGGGGAAATCTTTTTAAATTATTAAATGAATTTCATTAATGGATATTAATCTATTTCTTCTTGAATGAGCTTTGTTAATAGTGTCTTTCAAAAAACTTGTCCATTTCATATGTTATCAAATTTCTTAATGTAAACTTTTTTTCATAATATTCTCTTAACATTTTAAAGTCTATAGAGTATGTGCTGATAAGCAATTTTTCAGCTGTAATATTGTTATATTACACCTTCTTCTACATTTTTTGATCAGTATTTGCTTTGATCTCTTAAAACAGTTTTCGGTTCCTTTAAGTTTTTGATTGCTTATCTGTTTTCCTTTCCTTACTTTGAATTTTGCTCTTTTTAAAAATTTTCTTTTATCTAGAAATTTCTTTTATTGAAGTATAATTAAAATACAGTGTTATATTAGTTTCAGGTGTACAATATAAGCAACAATTCTATATATTACTCAGTGCTCATCACGATAAGTGTACTCTTTTTTTTTTAATTTTTTTTTCAACGTTTATTTATTTTTGGGACAGAGAGAGACAGAGCATGAACGGGGGAGGGGCAGAGAGAGAGGGAGACACAAAATCGGAAACAGGCTCCAGGCTCTGAGCCATCAGCCGAGAGCCCGACGCGGGGCTCGAACTCACGGACCGCGAGATCGCGACCTGGCTGAAGTCAGACGCTTAACCGACTGCGCCACCCAGGCGCCCCGATAAGTGTACTCTTAATCCCCTCTATTCTTTAATCTATCTCTTATTTTTATTGTTCTTTTCTCATGCTTACTTTGGGTTTAATTTGCTCTCTTTTTTGAGTTTCTAAGAGGGAAGCTAGACCATTATTTTGAATCTTTATTATCTTCTATAAACATTTATTTCTACAAATAGCCTTCTAAAGTACTGCTTTAATTGCATCCCACAAATGTTGACATTTTGTATTTTTGTTTTCATTCAATTCAATTCAGTTTTCTAATTTTCCCTATGACTTCTTATTTGACTCATAGATAGTTTATCTTTCTTCTCTCTTTATTTCTATTTTAATTCCTATGCAGTAAGAGGACATACTTTGTATTATTTCAATTCTTTTAAAGGTTAATTTTGTTAATGTTTATTTATTTATTTTGAGAGAGAGAGAGAGCGAGCAAGCAGGGGAGGGGCAGAGAGAAAGAGAATCCAAAGTGGGCTCTGTGCTGACAGTGCAGAGCCTGACGTGGGGCTCGATACCACAAACTGTGAGATCCTGGCCTGAGAGGAAATCAAGAATAGGACGCTCAACTGACTGGCCAGCCACCCAGGCGCCCCTCTCTAAAACATGTTAAGATTTGTTTTGTCGCACAGAATGAGTTTTACCTTTGTGGATAATATATTTTTTATTTTTTAAAATTCATTAATTTTGAGAGAGAGACAGAGAGACCAAGCGGGGAGGGGGGGTGGTGGTGGGCAGAGAGAGAGAGGGAGAGAGAGAATCCCAAGCAGGCTCTGCCCTGATAGCACAAGCCGGACTCAGGGCTTGAGCCCACGAACCGTGAGATCATGACCTGAGCCAAAACCAAGAGCCCAACCAACTGAGCCACCCAGGTGCCCCTGTGGATAATGTATTCTTAAATTACAAGTTCATTCTATTACTATTGGATGTAGTGTTCTCTAAATGGCTATTAGGTCAAGGTGGTTAATAGCATTATTCAGATCTTCTCTATTTTTATTTGTTTACTTTATGCTTGTTCTATCAATTTCTGAGAGGCATGCATTGGAGTCTCCAATTATATTTGTGGGTATGTCTATTTTTCTCTTTTTAGTTCTACCTGTTTTTGCTTCATGTATTTTGGAGCTCTGGAACTAGGTACCCACATATTTAGGATTATTATCTCCTCTTGATTTATTTAACCATTTATTATTATATACTGTTATTATTGTTATTACTTTAATAGTCTTGGTTTTTTAGAATAGCTTTAAGTTTACAGCAAAAATGATCAGAAAGTACAGAGTATTCACATATACCCTTTGTCCCCATACATACATGGTCTCTCCCACCATCAAAATCCTGCACCAGAGTGGTTCATTTATTATGTATTGTCTTTTTTTAAAGCTGGTGATAGTTCTTATTTTTAAATCCACTTTTCTGATATCAATAGAGCACTCTAGCTTTCTTTTGATTAATGTTACATATTCTTTTTGCATCTTTTCATATTCAAGCAATTCATAAGACTTTCTCATAGACAACATAATGTTGAACCTTTGCTTTTATTTTACCTGACAATCTATTTTCTATTTGGGGTGTCTGGATATTTAATGTAATTATTGATAAAGTATTTGAGTGTATTATCCTGCTATTTGAATTCTATTTATCTTATCTTTTTTTCTTGCATTAATTTATCAAGTATAGTTTATAATTAGTTTTCATTGTTGTATTATTTGTCTTCTTGTGTGTTTGTGGTTACAATCTACATCTTGAACTTATCACAGTTATTTGCTAATATCATGCCACTTATCACATATCATAAAAATCTTACACTTCCATTCCTCCTAATTCATTACACTGACATCATACTTCTACATACATTATCAATCACACAGTGGTTAAGCCTTTTTGATTTAGATAACCAATCACTTTTAAGAAGATGATAAACAGTAAAAAACACAAACAAAACATGATTTTTTTCTTTTTAAAATCATTTCTGGTGCTCTTCACTTCTTTTCTTTTTAAATAATGTTTACTCAATTTTTTTAAAGTTTATTTATTTATTTTGAGAAAAGGAGAGGCGGCACAAGTGGCGGAGGGACAGAGAGGGAGAGAGAGAGACAGAGAGAATCCCAAGCAGGCTCCTCACTGCCAGCACAGAGTCTGTTATGGGGCTCGAACTCATGAAACTGCCAGATCATGACCTGAGCTGAAACCAAGAGTTGGACGCCTAACTGACTGAGCCACCGAGGTGCCTTACTTTTCTTTTTTTAGTATAGGTCTAAATTTTATTTTGATTCTATAGTCTTTCTACTTTAACATTTCTTATGGCACAGACATGCTAGCAATGATTCTCTCTCAGTTAAATTAAACCTCAGTTTAATATTTTTGTTGACTCCCTCCCCCCAATTTTTTTTTTTTAAATTTATGTTTATTTATTTTTGAGAGAGAGCGTGAGTGGGGGAGGGGCAGAGAGAGAGGGAGACACAGAATCCAAAGCAGGCTCCAGGCTCTGAGATGTCAGCACAGACCCTGACGTGGGGCACAAACTCATGAACCATGAGATCATGATCTGAACCGAAGTCCGACGCTGAACCAACTGAGCCACCCAGGCAACCCTCCCCCCACCCCAAATTTAAAGACATTTCTCTATCTTTAAGCTGGCTTGTTTAGTTTCTGCAAGAAACTTGTTATTATTCTCATCTGTGCTTTTCTATATGTAATGATCCTTCATTCTTGTGCTGTCTTAAGGTGATATCTTCATAGTTTTGAGC